GGCCATACTGCCAGAATCAGCTCCATACGTCTGGCCGGTGCAATATAATGTTAGGCTAAGAATTAAGGGCTTAATTCAGCGTTAAGCAAACGGTGCGGAGAATGTACGGCCGTGTACTTCAAGATTCAGCATTCTTTGTTTGCGTTCTGTACATCAGTAAATAGGAATTCTTACTCGTACCATCCAGTCGGTAACATGCAACACCTAATCGAATCAGACAGCACAAAACAATCAGGAAAAAAAGCATCAAGGTAGACATATGGCTAGACGCTGCAGAGGTAGGTATTTATAACATCATTAAAAAATAAATAAAAGGAATGGCTGAAACAGAAGGTATTGCTTAATAAATTATAAATATATGAAATCAATATGACATAAATGAAAAGTGTAGGTGAAATAGGAAATATGCCAGAGTACAGTGCATTCTGCAAAGTGTTTCCCTGTCCAGGAAAATGTACTGTGCAATTACAAGGTAGTTATGGTAAGGATGTATTGCGTAGGATGTCTAACAGAGCAGAGGGTGAAGGGATATGCAAATGATATGTAAATTAAGTGGGCGTGGTCAAATGCAGATTGGGTGGGTGATCAGAACAATAAGCTCAGAATCACCCTTGACCACACCTCAGGGCTGTAAATTCGTGCAGCTGACTGGCGTGGTGTGACTCTGTGTGCCACCATCCACAATTCTGTAACGCCACTAAAACGCTGAACCTGGATTTCCCACGCAGTCAACGTGCCGCCCCAAACCCATGCATTTGCCTCTCCTGTTACCCTACTATCCCTGCTGGCTATGCAGGATTTGCAGCAGGAAGCAAAAAGGGACCCAAAACTGACCCCAAACCCAGTGCCAGCACCTTGTATAAACGAGGCCCCGTCACATACCTTTTCCTGCTCTAATCCGTGGAGCAATTCTCCCTCATTTCACTCATTTACTTTTGCATCCATGTACATTAACAGACACAACCTGCCTCTCAGCTCATGAGTGACATCAGCCCACTTATTCCAGGCCCCCAGGCATGGGGGGGTGGGAAGTATGTACAGGGACCCTCCCCCCAAAACACAGACACGCACTCTGTGCGGCATGCATGCCTCAGGGATTAACTTAGTGCCCCTGAGGCTAAATCCAGCCATCTGGACAGCGGTTGATCAGGATGACAGGCCTGCTGCCCCTGTACATGCAGAGAGCTTTCCGGGAAAAAGGGCCGCATCTGGGATGGTGCACGTTAGCGTTTCTAGCACTTTCCGTCTCTCTGATCCACACATTAGCCTCCTGCCTCGGTAGAATTTGTCGAATGCGACTCGTAGCAGTATTAGCATAGCGACCTGCCACTCGTCCCCGATTCGTCTAAGTAAAAAGACAAACTCATCATTTATTTCATTCACTACCGATTCGGGGGTAAGAACGGGATGCATAATTCATTATGTTTTTTTTTTTTATATAAAATACTTTTTGCATTTTATGCTTGGAGCGAACAGCTGTCACTGTTTATAGTACACATGGTATGAAAGATGGATGTTGCGGAGGAAAAAAATGGTTTTAGACATTTAAATATTGCCAGCAAGAAACTGGAAAAGATTATGGGAAAAAATAAATATTTTAGTAACGGTTGTGTAAGTCTGGTAAGTCAAATCTGTTGTGAATGCAGAATATATGAGTAAGTAAACGCCCAATGGCTACATCCCACATAAAGGGTCAGCTCGGTGTGGGGGTGTCATAGACCCTTTAGAGCCAAGCATCCTGATTGGATGAAAAGGTGCCCCTTTGAATCGCATAAACAAGTCCACCCCCGGTGACTGTGGTGCGGACTTGATCATCATCAAGTAGGACTGTTTTGTCTAGCAGGAACAAAGGCGCAGCCAACGTGAAAGTGACAGTTCACTCTCTCCACCTCCGTAACCATAGCAGAGCAATAATGATCGTCGTAAACCCTATTTTCAGAGCACACAGCCGCGATTTTGCAATATCTACTGAAATATGCAATGTACTCTTGTTCTTGAGTGCGTCTAATGTGGGATACACTTCATGGCGTGAGCCACAAAGTTTGCCGGTGCTCATCCTCCGTCTTTGAAACCCTGCTAGTTAAAGACTCAAGGAATCACTATAAGGACCAATGGAACTTACATCAACACCTCTTTGGTGACATCGTGAGATAGGAGCAGCAGGAAATCCAGATAAGTGGCCGTCAGCCAATGAGATATCTGTTGTTTTTGACAATCAGCTCAGTTCCCATCAGCCGAGGCTTTAAAAGCCCAATAAGTGGTCCATACTCTTCCATCAGCTTATCCTCTACGCCATCCCACCATCTCTCTTCTCCAGGACTTTCTTGGAGGCCTCAGACCTCCCCTAAGCAGAACACAGATTTCTTAGAAACTTCCAGTTCTTCCGTACTATACATCTGCCATTCTTGGCTCTTGTACCATGAATCTGAGATGTGACTCCTGGAACTGGCTGTCATGATGATTCCTGCTATAATTGATGAGATAGAGTTTTATTTGCCATTTATATGAGAACAGGTACATTTGGACGCCTCTTTTCGCTTTCCCATCATGCTCTTCTTTGAGACACATACACGTATGTACAACTGACATAGAAGCCTGAGATCCTGCACCCCTGGACCATTTGTCAAGGAGTTATGGGCCTCAATCAAGTGCCCAATGGACATACTGTATGACTATTGTGTCAAGCTTGGGATTTGAACCAACGACCAACCGATCACAGGCACACTGCAGGGGGAAACTTTTTCTGGGGATTTTCCGAGGCACCCCCCTGCGGGTATCCCTTCCTTTAAACAAACAAATGGACAGAGTGTTGGGTGGAAAAAGAGGATAGACGTGCATGGCATCGCATATCGGAGTAATAAATCACAGAACACCCGCTGCGGAGTGAGACGGAGAGTCTGGCGCTCCATACCAGCGGGGGAGCTATTGGTCAAGCAGTCATTTCTCTGCAATATATCTGAAAAAGCTGGGATTTCATATTACTCTGTACATATCTGTATATAGTGTGGGTCACAGAACAGGGTGAAGCTCTTTTCAGTGCAGACGCAGGGGTGCTGATGCACAATTACACATGACTTTATTGAACAACAGTAAGCTTAGGATATTTCTTTTTAATGACACGCCTGTCATTTGCATTCCCCGTGTCTGGAAAAGTCCACCACATTTTAGCAGGGAAGTGGGACCTTTTTCCTGGTCTCTATTGTTTATTCAACCGGGTCGTTAAGCACTGGCCCAGCTGCCGCTAACCCCGCTCCAGAATCAAAGCTGGACCTGTCGCTCAAAAAAACTGTACGTTACGTAGTGAAGAATAACTCGATGAATCTCTAGATGAGATAACGCACTCTAGGCAGCATTTCTGCCAAAGCTACCACACCTGCGTGTTTGCTTCCATGTGTACCTGTTTATCAGACGTAGTTCCATGAGGATGAACCGCAGTGAAGTTTTCCAGACTTAATTAATTAATTAGATGATCAGTGGTGACAGACCACAGCACACAGTGTACAATGACAAAATGTGTTCTCTACATTTAACCCATGTGATATTGTGACATCGCAGGCGGCAGCCAATTCAGCACCAGGGGACCAGTGCTGGTCACGGATTCGAACCAGCAGTCTTTCAGTTTCAAGTGCACTTTCCTAACCATTAGTGCTTTGAATGCTCGTTGATGGTCCGTACACTATGACCTACATTGTCGTGACATGTAGATGGTCCAAAGATAACTCAGACATGAACAGAGATGCTCTTTTTGTAATTAATCATTGTATGTTGATCGTTGTGGTAAAGCAGAACCATCCCCCCCCCCACCACCACCACCACCAAAGTGGCTCTACCCACTGTCATTGTGACAGACCTCCAGGAAGGTAGACCACCTCTCTGTTGTCTGACCGGGTACCCTGCGATCTGTGGTCGTCATACCACACTGGCCTTCACAACACCCCCTTGTTTCTAAGGTTACGCTGGGGGGGGGGGGGTGTCTTTGCGTTGTCGTCGACAGCAAATGTTGTTGGGGGGGGGGGGGCTGAAATATAGTTGAATATCCAGTAAGGACGGGGAGAGATCCGAAATGTGTGTCTTGCGGAAAATATAGGTCACAAAAAAATGAGGGCTGGAGACATCAAAGGCAGTGCGCAGGTTTAAATATTTACCTCGGCGAGCCGCCTCCTCAAATGAAGGATTGAAGCCCCGTCTGCTACAAAACAATAGATGAAAAAGATACATATATATATGTGTGTGTGTGTGTGTTTTTTTCCAAACGCTGGAGAGAGTTTGTGCATTAGCCAAAGCCAGATGGGGTCCAGCTTTTGATTATGCTTTAAGTCCCAAGACTTATTAAGCCACCCCCCCCCCCCACATACATACATATATATATATATGTATACATACATATATATTTTATTTTTTATATATATATTTTTTTTAAATGTATTTTTTCACGGCCCCCTCAGCGCTGCCGAGGTACCACAACCCCCTAGTCTCTGTCCCTTTCCTAATTAATAATCCCCCCCTACCCCGCCTGATGAGCACAAAGAACATCAGCTGGTTCACCAAGAGGGGGTGCCTTCTTCATTGGTGGGGGGGCCCTATCTGCTAATTTGACAGATGAAGATCATAGCCACTCCCTTGGACTGGTAGGGGGGCACAAGGCCATCTTGCCTAACCGCCCCCACAACCCTCAACCCCCCCAATGGGGGTGCAGACGAGCCAGCGAGTGAGAGACCCAGTAGACCAGCACCTTACCGTCCCTTTCTTCTTCCCTGCTGCCCTCTGTCCCCCCTCCACTTGCCATCCGCTTATCTGGGTCTCTGAGGAGGGGGGAGGTGGGGGTCGACACCCCCTCAAACCCCTGGGGTTGGCCACTCTCATCTGCGCTTCCCCCGGAGCAGACCGCAGTGCTTGGCGGTGCAAGAGGAGAAGAATGAGCCCTTCCTGAGAGAGAGAGAGAGAGAGCGAGGGAGAGAGAGAGAGAGGGAGAGAGAGAGGGGAGGAGGAGGAGAAGAAAGCGGAGCGAGCGGCTGCTCACACTCGCGCTCATAGCCTCGCTCGCAGGATAGTCGCATGGCTCGCGCTCTGTAACGCGCTGGGATTAAAGCGGCATTGACTCCATCTGCCCACCCGCCTGCCCGCCGGAGAGGGACCTTCTGTTAAGGTAAGCTCTCCTCCGCCACCCCTCCTCAGCCACCTCTCCTCCGCCACCGCGCTGGACTTTCTCCTGCTTCTTTTCTTTTTTTTCTTTTTTTTTTGCTGATGCTTTTGGTTTGTCAGAATGCGGGGGGGGGGCATTGTAGGAAACTGAGTGAGAGAGTTGGGATGCGGTCGCCCCCCCCGGCCGCTGCGGTGGGCTAAGGGCTGCCTCCGTACACGGTCTGAGGAAATCCATCTCAGCCTGCTCTGGAAGTGGAATAACACCGGTCCTTTTTTTTTTTTTGGGGGGGGGGGTGTCTCTGTGATAATAAGGATGACTTTATGTTTCCTAAGAACCAGCAGACGTTACTCCGGCTGCATGAAAGAACCTACTTCTTTAAAGGAGTTTATGAGTTCATTCAAAAATGCATGCAATATATATTTCCTCTGTACTTCACTGCTGTGAATATCATATGTGAATATTTCCATTCATTAAAGCAATGTTATTTATGCGTATATAATATAGTACTCAGAAAAACAGCTACATTAGTAACTGTGACTGACAGCACTTTCTCTGTCAGCACATAGAGGTGTCTTGTAAGGCGACGGACAGCAGGGGTCAGCGGACTGCGAGTCAAGCGATTCAGCAGTCAGCTCGGTCGGGGTCCGGCATTTGTGCCTGTGTCGGCTTGCCCATGGGGAGACTCGGAGCAACTCGGAGAGAGGGAAACGGCTCCCTCTGGGGGGCGTGTCGGTGCGGCAGTGACGATGTCACACCATCAGTGAGCGACGCACCCCCCCGCCCCCCCCAGCCGCGAGAAGTTAGTTCTGTTTATTTACGAATGTGCCACGCATCCTCGACGGCGTTTGGCCGAGTGGCAGCATCCGAGTTACTTCATCACAGCGAACGAATCGATAAGTGTGCACATTATAGCACGCCAGGGGCCCCACACAGACGCCAGAGGCCGTAAAAGCCCAGACTAATGGAACACCGCTATTTGGTGGTTCAATATTAGCTCTGCATGTGCGTTGAGACGTCCTGTTTGCAGGTAGATTATGCTAGGCTTGTGATTTCCCGACGATGGGTCACCAGTGCCTCAGCTCAGAGGATTCCACCCCCGGGGCTCTCCTAAACGCCCGCCGGGTCCTGCCAATTAAAAGTCCTGCCATTTTTGCATTTGTCATGAAGGCACGGACATCCCCAAAACATTTCTCAAGAAGTTTTCAGCTTCGCAAAACATATAGTATGTTTTTAATCACAATTTTAATGATTTCAAATTATTTTCTGGCAGAATTGAAGAAATAAATGACACTAGATTGAGTAAATATTTTTTTGAAAAGGCTCGTGGCACACAGAGGTGAAGCGTGTCCCTATGCTTTCGCGTGTGCCTGTGTGTGTGTGTGTGTGTGTGTCTGTGTGTGTGCGTGTACCTGTGTGTGTGTGTGCCTGTGTGTGTGTGTGCCTGTGTGTGTGTACCTGTGTGTGTGTGTGCCTGTGTGTGCCTGTGTGTGCGTGTGCCTGTGTGTGTGTGTGTGCGTGTGTGTGCGTGCCTCCTCTGGGTTCATGTCAGGCAGTGGTGGCAGCTCCCGTGATAATCTGACACGCCGCGCTGAGCAAGTGAGACACGTGCAGACGCTCGATAAAAGATAAGGCAGAGGGAAAAAAAATAAACACTCCACTTCCGTCGGGCTGCTTTCATTCTGCTCCGAGCCGAGCATCCCATCGACTCGTCTGCGCTCATTAAAATTCAGCCGGGGCGTCTGGCTTCGGATAATTTCAAATTGACTCTACAGGAAGAGGTATGGGAAGTGGACAAGTGAAGCAACCTTCCGTAGGGGTATCGAACAAGCAGGAAACAGGTGATGCTTCCCCGTGAGTCTGTTTGGGACAATACTTTATCCCAATAATGGTGTTCTTTATTCAGTTATATTTGATTTATTTTATATAGTGCCTTACAGTTGCCCCAAGGCACTTGACAAGAGTACTACACGGTTTGTACTAAATGGTGCATGAAACAGGGAGCAAGAAAAAAAGAAAGAAAGAAAGAAAGAAAGAAAGAGAGAAAGAAAAGATTTTGCACAGAGAGCAGTGTAGGTTGGCACTGTCTCTTCACACTTCCTGGTTTGCGGGTACATTTCCCATCCCTGAAGATTTTCTACGATGGCTCTGCATTCATTCAGGTTTCCCCCCACATTCCTGAGACCTTTGGGTGGACCAGCGTCTCTAAATTGCTCCTATTCTAGGGTCTTCCCTGCCTCCTGTGATGCACTTTCTGGGAAAGACTCCAGGCTTGCTGTCAGGGTGATTATGGGCTTGGGGGGGGGGGGGGGGGGTGCCCCAAAAGAGACATATTCATCACATATTTGATTCAGAGGGTAGGTGCAGCCCAGGACATATTCTAAAGTCCATTTCCATTTAGTCTCAGAATTTAATTTCATTTATTGAACGAGCAGCAGATTCAGAGCAGTTTAGGAGAGAAGAAAATTGGCCGTATTGCTGTTTTAGCAAATGATTAAAAGAGCCCCGTTGTTCCGAGTCGCTCCCTTTTTAAATGCCAGCGAGAGCTGCATCTTCCTTCTGGGTTATTTCTGCAAGATCACTGTGTTGGGTTCGGTCACACTGAGCAGGTTTCTACAGATGCGGGCGTTTCTGAGTAAAGCTGAGCTCTGCCCAGCATCGTCCTCAGCCCATAAAAGCTGTTACGATTTCCTTCTCCTTAAGTCCAGCCGAGAGCGAGCAGAAGCCTCTCTGTGCGTAACATGTAGCTTGGCCGGTACTGTGAGCGGGAACGCTGGGCTGCCAAGACCTGAGCCCCAAGACCCGAGGGAGGTGCAGCTCAAACTTTCAGCTACACCAAGACACTGGAGAATACAAGTCAACGAGGACATAATTAACCTACTTATAATACATTATTCCATTTATTTTAGATTAATTATCTGGTACCAATTAATGGCTAACATATACATGCATTCCATGGAATATAGTAAGTCGTATCATATGTGGGGTGGAGGCAGTGGTGGTGTTTACCGCCACTAAAACCATCCATTTGCATGGGGCCCCAAAGGTTTGGAGGCCCCCTTTAGGCCATAAACTGTAACTACAATGGGGGGATCCAAAGACATTTTTTGAGTTGGGCACCTGAAACAACAACCCCCACAAGCCCAGACTTGTGACATAAGCAAGAGGCTGACACAGTGGGCCACATGTAGACCTTATAGGGGCCCTGGGTGGGTAGGTTGTTCCTGGGGCCCCACTCAAAAAGTCACCTTGGGGACCCCCCAGGCCTCCTCAGATGTTTCAAGAAGTAAATAAATAGCTGCTGAGTACAGTCAGATGATCGTAGCTAACGAGCTGGTTAGCAGAACATGCTGCTTCAGCATCTCCTAGATGAGGAATCTGATTACTTAAAGTACAATGGCGAACTGCTTTTCCATTCAGTAAGACAAGTGTTTAATGCCGTTACCTGGACTGCCTTTAAATATAGAAACCACACTGTGTGCTGGAAAAAAAGCACATCTTTCTGAGATCCTTTCTCTTGGGTCAGAAACATCTGTTAATATTTAGTATAGTGTCTGCAGCCAGAAGGGGAACCTTTCCGGGTGCCGTGTCCCACTGACAGCTACGGTCTCCAGTCAAGGCAGGAGAAGATGGACATGTGAGCTGATCCCTTTAACATAAAGTCAACTGCCCCTTTAAGTGTTTGGGTTTCGTATTTATGTTTTTTTACGGTCCAAATAATTTTTACACAGTGTGGCAGCCCCTCTGTCTCAGTACGAAGGGCTGCTGGGAAGGGGTGGCGCCCATCCCAGGGGGTGGGGGGGAGGGATCTAACCTGCGAATGAAATCAATACGGTGATTATTTTGGAGAGGCTCGACTCGTCACCTTGAGCACTTCAATCTCAGTCCCAGCGAGATGGACTATGGACGCTTTTTCCACACTCAGTGGGACCGCCTCACCAGCATCTGTGTGTGCGCGTGTGTGCGACTGACGTATTTCATCAGCCACACATTTAACTGCACACAGGAAATCCACTTTGTGAGTCATGCATGGGTAGGGAATACACATTTACCAGGGTACTCATATTTCCAACCTCGTTAATTTACGTTTGCGCTGCAGTGCCTTTTGTTGTTTTTTGATAAATCCATTCATGGTGCTTTGCTTTAGTGTCCCTGAAGCGATATCTTCGGTTTACGAGTGTCGGCATGCATGGATCGTGTGAGGTATTAAGAGCCATAGAAAAATTATATGTTAACTCTGGTACAAACAGCACAGTCCGCTAGTAGGCTAATGCCTGTTTATGTTCCTGAATGTTGGTTTTGGGGTATTAGTTATCGGTCCTTGAATAATCGTATTATGTATCATATATGTTTGCAGTCTGCTATTTGTCTCGCGTGTATGTTACTTTGAACAAACATGTCTGTTAAATATGTAAATGTGAAGCTAAATTTACTTATACTTCTAATGTCAACTGTGCAGTATAATTTAGGTTTGTTTCACAATACCTTTGTGCTTTTTTGATAAATCCATTCATAGTACTTTCCATAAATGTCCCTGAAGCGATATCTTCTGTTTCTGAGTGTCGCGAAGAGACACACAAGGACCTAGCACGCACAAACACGATGACTCTCTCGTACTCCGTGGTTCGAGTACGTCGAGAGTACCGCCGATGCGCTCGGATTCGAACGACACACATCCATAAAATGCAACCCCGTACCCTGCCAGCATCCAGCGAGACCACAACAGCCGTTACCGGGGCAACGGGAGTGGAAACAGATCACCAACAAGATGCGCTTCTGGAGACGTGGTGCTCATCAAGACGATCGGAGATAAACATCGAATTACAGTCGATTTGTTTTACGCTTGTTCCTTACTGCGGGATATTACCTCTTCCTCCCGCTTCCGGAAGCCCCCTTTAGTGTCTGTACCCTTCAAGCCTCACCCCCCAAGCAAAATCCCGCCATTATAAACACCAGCAAACTCCCACAACTCTTCGTTTTCTCACATTTCAAAAACGCCAAGCCTC